CTTACTAGCCATATGGTTAAACTAGCGCATGTGCCTACTCAGGTATGGAAAGGGTACAATCCAAGTAGTTGGTTTGGTAGCTGGTATGAGTGGTTTGGAGGGCTTAAGGCAGTGGTAGGTGGAGTCCTACTGATTTTAATGTTGTGTCTACTCCTGCCGTGTCTTATACCCTTAGTAGTTAGGTCTGTGCAAAGCCTGATAGAAAATATAGCAGAGAGGAAGGCTGCTGCACAGATAATGGCAATTTATAAATATAAGGCTCTAGATCAGGGAGAACTAATGCAGGAAGACGAGTGTTGAAGATTCACATCATAGGATAAGTCTGGTCTGGTTCAAAGGTAACTTGTGGTGTATGCAAACCAAGGTTAAGTGATGCCTCAAGTAATTGTAAAATATCAAGAGGCATCAAAGGGGGGAATGTGGTGGAATCTCGGTAAAAATAAATTTAGTAGGCCGAGATTACCACGTGGCATGTGTACGTGCATATGCTGACGTATCGATCAGTTGGTTGCACGAGGCAAGATACGATCAGTAGTGTACGGAGCATGTGCAAGAATACAGGATGTAGTATTCCCCTCCTCCATTGTGCTGGACAAGCCATGCGGTCAAGCAGGAAGTTAATTCTTATTTGTAATGATTGGTCAAGAGAATGTGCGGGTGGAGCTTAATATGGAGGAGTTATGTGCCTATATAGGGAGCCTGCACTATTGTTCAGGGCTCAGAACTTGCTGTATTTTTGGTGACATTAGTCCCTCTGAGTCCCGATCGGTGATCCAATAAAGAATCTCTTCCTTCCTGAAGAAACCTGTGTCCATCCCTCTGTGCTTTGCTTCCGTCAGTTTCTCCGGTATCAATTCAACATTATTCATAAATGTAAATTGTATGATACATACACAATATGCTTGGAGCTAAAGAGATGTTAAGTGACACATGCACATTTTTTGAGCAGGTGTTCCCATTCTAACTTCAGACAAAGCTTGGTAAACATTGACAAATGTAACAACTAAAGGATAAGAGGTCATAATGTAAACTCCTAGCTGAGCGCATATCTAATAAGAGCAATTAATACATTTTCTGCCAAGCATCCATTAGGAAAAGGGTGTTTATGGTTTTAAAGAACTAGAAACTTTGCAATAGTCCTAAATTTAATTTCCTAAAAATCCTGTAGGCAAGATTCTGAGATAGAAATAGGAACAACAGAAAGTCAAAGATTTAGAGTAGTGGAGGGTATGACTTGTAAGGAACTTATTACTTAAAGATGATATATATTTTCAAAAGTATCCTAGTATTTAATGGTGAATACTAGAATATTAAAATACATTGAAATGATATGGAAAGGTACTATAAGGACAGACAGATTTATGTGGTGTTAAAGGACCACTATAGTGCCAGGAAAACATACTCGTTTTCCTGGCACTATAGTGCCCTGAGTGTGCCCCCACCCTCAGGGTCCCCCTCCCGCACGGCTCTGGAAGCGGGAAAGGTGTTTAAACTTACCTTTTTCCAGCGCTGGGCGGGGAGCTCTCTGCCTCCGATCCTCCTCCGTTCCTCCTCCTGGGCTGAATGTGCACGCGCGGCAAGAGCTGCGCGCGCATTCAGCCCGTCGCATAGGAAAGCATTTACAATGCTTTCCTATGGACGCTTGCGTGCTCTCACTGTGAAAATCACAGTGAGAAGCACGCAAGCGCCTCTAGTGGCTGTCAGTGAGACAGCCACTAGAGGATTAGGGGGAAGGATTAACCCAGGGGCGGACTGACCACTCGGGCACTTCGGTCATGGACCGAGGGCCCGAGGCAGTCAGGGGCCCGGCAGCACAGCCATGCTCCAGCTGGAGAGATCAGAGATCAGATCAGAGATCTCTCCAGCTGGAACGGCAAAATAATAAAATAAAACTTTTTAATTGATAGGTTGTGGGGCCCCTGATGCAGCGCGGGGCCCCACAACCTACCGCTCTGCACATCCCCCACCCCCCCAATGAGACCTGGCAGCTTCACCTCCTCCCTGCCAGGTCTCCGGCTTCCTCTCCCATGCGGCTCTGTGTGATGGGAGAGGCGGGCCAGGAAGTGACATCACTTCCTGTTTACTCCTCTCACACAGAGCCCAGCATGGAGAAGGAGCAGCAGCCGGGGGAGAAGAGGGAGCAGAGATGCAGGTAGGCACCAACCACCCCCTTCCCCCCCCCTCACTATCACCAGTCACCCCCCTCACTGTCACCAGTCACCCCCCCACTGTCACTAGTCACCCCCCACTGTCACTAGTCACCCCCCCACTCTGTCACCCCCTCACTGTCACTAGTCACCCCCCCACTGTCACTAGTCATCCCCCCTCACTGTCACTAGTCACCCACACCACTGTCACTAGTCACCCACCCCCACTGTCACTAAGTCACCCCCCCCCCCCACTGTCACTAGTCATTTCCCCCTCACTGTCACTAGTCACCCCACTGTCACTAGTCACCCCCACCTCCTGTCACTAGTCACCCCCCCCCCTCACTCTGTCACCAGTCATCCCCTCACTCTGTCACTAGTCACCCCTCTGTCACTAGTCACCCCCCCCTCTGTCACTAGTCTCCCTCACTCTGTCACTAGTCACCCTCTCCCTCACTCTGTCACTAGTCACCCTCTCCCTCACTCTGTCACTAGTCACCCTCTCCCTCACTCTGTCACTAGAGTGAGGGGATGACTGGTGACAGAGTGAGGGGATGACTGGTGACAGAGTGAGTTAGGGGGTGACTAGTGACAGAAGGAGGGATGGAGTAGTGACAGAGGGAGGTGGTGACTAATATGATCCACCACCTCCCTCACTCTGTCACTAGTCGCAGCCTGCTCCAATGCACTAGTGCCCCCCTCGCCTCTGAAGTGACAGTGAGGGAGAGGAAGTGTTGACTAGTTGACTTAGCGGGTAGGAGGAAGGGAAGTGACTAGTGAGAGTGAGAAGTGACTAGTGACTGAGATGACATAAAGAGGTGGTGACTAGTGACAGTCACCTCCTCCCTCACTCTGTCACTAGTCACCACCTCCCTCACTGTGTCACCCCCTCCCTCTGTCACTGGTCACCCACTCCCTCCCTCACTCTGTCACTAGTCACCCCTTCCTTCCCTCTGTCACTAGTCACCCCTTCCCTCACTCTGTCACCTGTCACCCCCCTCACTCTGTCACTAGTCACCCCCCTCACTCTGTCACTAGTCACCCCCCTCACTCTGTCACTAGTCACCCCCTCACTCTAGTGAAAGAGTGAGGGAGGGGGTGACTAGTGACAGAGAGAGGGAGGGGGATGACTAGTGAGCAGAGAGGAGGTGGATGAGACAGAGAGAGGGAGGGGGATTAGTGACAGAGTGAGGGAGGTGCCTAGTGACAGAGAGAGGAGGGAAATATTAGTGACAGTCACCATTTTCACTGTTACCTTCCTCACTTATTTATCAAAGTTACCCTTCCTCACTTACTAGTCATTTCTTTTCTCACTGTCACTAGAGTGAGGGGGTGACTAGTGACAGAGTGAGGGGGTGACAGAGTGAGGGAAGGGGATGACTGGTGACAGAGTGAGGGAGGGGATGACTGGTGACAGAGTGAGGGAGGGGTGACTAGTGACAGAAGAAGGGAGGGAGTAGTGACAGGAGGGAGGGAGTAGTGACAGAGGGAGGTGGTGACTAGTAACAGTCACCACCTCCCTCACTCTGTCACTAGTCACCCCTTCCTTCCCTCACTCTGCCACTAGTCACCCCTTCCCTCACTCTGTCACTAGTAACCCCCTCACACTAGTGACAGAGTGAGGGAGTGACAGAGAGAGGGAAGGGGGTGACTAGTGACAGAGTGAGGGAGGGGGTGACTGTCACTAGTCACCCCATCCCTCTGTCACTAATCACTCCCTCCTAACTCTGTCACTGTGTCACCCCCTCCCTCACTCTGTCACTAATCACCCCTCTGTCCTTAGTGACAGAGTGAGAGAGGGGGTGACTAGTGACAGAGTGAGGAAGGGGGTGACTAGTGACATAGTGAGGGAGGGGGTGACTAGTGACATAGTGAGGGAGGGGGTGACTAGTGACAGAGTGAGAGAGGGGGTGACTAGTGACAGAGTGAGGGAGGGGGTGACTAGTGACAGAGAGAGGGAGGGGTGACTAGTGACAGTCACCACCTCCTTCACTCTGTCACTAGTCACCCCCTCCCTCACTCTGTCACTAGAGTGAGGGGGTGACTAGTGACAGAGTGAGGGGGTTACAGAGTGAGGGAAGGGGATGACTGGTGACAGAGTGAGGGAGGGGATGACATGTGACAGAGTGAGGGAGGGCGTGACTAGTGACAGAAGGAGGGAGGGAGTAGTGACAGTGAGGGAGGTGGTGACTAGTGACAGTCACCACCTCCCTCACTCTGTCACTAGTCACCCCTTCCTTCCCTCACTGTGCCACTAGTCACTCCTTCCCTCACTCTGTCACTAGTCACCCCCTCACTCTAGTGACAGAGTGAGGGAGTGACAGGTGACAGAGTGAGTGACTAGTGACAGAGTGAGGGAAGGGGTGACTGTCACTAGTCACCCCATCCCTCTGTCACTAGTCACTCCCTCCTAACTCTGTCACTGTGTCACCTGCTCCCTCACTCTGTCACTAGTCACCCCCTCCCTCACTCTGTCACTAATCACCCCCTCTGTCCTTAGTGACAGAGTGAGAGAGGGGGTGACTAGTGACAGAGAGGGTGACTAGTGAGAGTGAGAGAGGGGGTGACAGTGACAGAGAGAGGGATGGGGTGACTAGTGACAGTCACCCCCTCTCTCACTCTGTCATTAGTCACCCCCTCGCTCACTCTGTCACCAGTCATCCCTTCCTTCCCTCACTCTGCCACTAGTCATCCCTTCCCTCACTCTGTCACCAGTCACCCCTTCCTTCCTTCACAATGACAGAGTTAGGGAGGGAGTGACTAGTGACAGAGAGAAGGATGGGGTGACTAGTGACAGAGTGAGGAAGGGGGTGACTAGGGAGAGAGGGGGTGATTAGTGACAGAGTGAGGGAGGGGGTGACTAGTGACAGAGGGAGGGGGTAACACAGTGACAGAGTAAGGGGGTGACTAGTGACAGAGTGAGGGAGCGGGTGACACAGTGACAGAGTTAGGGAGGGAGTAACTAGTGACAGAGAGAGGGATGGGGTGACTAGTGACAGTCACCCCTCCCTCACTCTGTCACCAGTCATCCCCTCACTCTGTCACTAGTCACCCCTTCCCTCCCTCACTCTGCCACTAGTCACCCATTCCCTCACTCTGTCACTAGTCTCCCATTCCCTCCCTCTGTCACTAGTCTCCCCCTCTCCTTCCCTCTGTCACTAGTCTCCCCCTCTCCTTCCCTCTGTCACTAGTCACCCACTCCCTCACTCTGTCACCAGTCACCCCCACTCACTGTGTCTCCCCCTCACTCTGCCACCACTCAACCCCTCCTTCCCTCACTCTGCCACCAGGTACCCCCTCACTCTGCCACCTGTCACCTTCTCCCTCATACACTCTGTCACCTGTCACATATGCATTCACACAGACACTATATACAAAAAGCACATGTAGTCATCCAGACATGCACAAGTGCATTCACACAGACTCAAATACAAACATGCATTGATACACAGGTCTTCACAATACACACATCCAAAGGAATGCCGTATTATGAATTATATTTAACATTTATTAAAATGCACATATATTTGGCCTTCAAAGGGCCTGGGATCTAATTTTGCCCGGGGGCCCCAAAGGCTCTCAGTCCGCCCCTGGATTAACCCATTTATAAACATAGCAGTTTCTCTGAAACTGCTATGTTTATAAAAAAATGGGTTAACCCTAGAAGGACCTGGCACCCAGACCACTTCATTTAGCTGAAGTGGTCTGGGTGCCTACAGTGGTCCTTTAAGAATGTTTTTTCCCCATGTTTTCTCATGTATTATGGACTTTAATGGTGCAAGGTTATTATTTGATACAGTTTCAAAAGTGGTTTACAGTAGGCAAGAATGGACATGTATGCAAGATCAAAAGTATCCTTTGCATCTTATGAGAGAGATAGAGGGGTATTTGAGGAAAAGATAATATTTATGTTGTGGTGTATGTGGAAGAAAAAAGGTGAGTCACGATCAATACAGACAGTAAGCAAGCAAACATGGTTGATGATTGTGCAACTGACCACAATTCTGAGTTAAACACAAGATCTTGTATAAAAAAAGAAAAGGAAAATGGATCAGTGTTGGGCAGAGTCATGCATGGTAGTTATGGCTGCACAAATCAGAATTTCATTTGTCTGAATGAACTTCCAAAACTAAAATAATAACAGCAAACAAATGAAATTCAGTTTGGATGTAACAAGATTTTTTTGTCTGAAAAACAAAAATTTAATGGTGTCCAAGTTTACTTGCCAGTGCGCATCTCATGCAGTTGACCTCACCACATGTCCCTGATACATATGCTCACTTGCACACAATTATGCAAAAAACTCAAATACACTTGTTAACACACACACTAACACACAATTCTCAATGCACACACTGACTGATACACACCAACAGGGCCGGACTGGGGATACGAAGCAGCCCAGGAAAAAAATCTATGCCAGCCCCATAAGTCATTGTGCTATGTAGTGTGTGATTTTATATACATATATATATACACACACATATATCTCTCACATTCTGTCTATATATATTTTATTGGTATACTTCTTTTTCTAAGTCAAAATATTAGTTCCTTCAGGGTAATTAAATCATACAGTAAAGCATACTCACATGCAGACAATCTTACTGATGCACACAAATAGGCTCATTGACAGACAATCTCAATGACACACAGATAAGGTTACTGGTACACATGCAAATTAAGTACAGACAAACTCTGATATACACACAAGATTACTACAGACTGTGGCGGAACCAGCCTCGCCACTGGGCATTGGAGAAGACTGATTGCCGGCCTCCTGCCCTGTGACAATGGCCCCATGTTGAAAGGATGGATTTTCCCCTGCAAAGACCCAAAAGCTGGGTCTTTCGGTACTTTCCCTACATGAGCAGTGTTACCCAGATAGCTATGCCATGGAGCCCATTTGTATAATGAAAGACTATGGGAAAGACTTTGGCTCCATGGCAATTGAACTGTATGTGTGTGCTCTGAGCGCCATTCAGTAATAATGTGCCCTCAGATCTGAGCTATCTGGGGATATGTTGAATGTACCTGTTTTGTGCAATGGCTGCACAGTTATAAGTTTTTATGTGTTTTATTGTCTTTTGCTGCCATATGTTCAGTGGAGTTTTGCCTTTGTCCTTGGAGATAATTGGATTACTTCCCAATTATCTCCAGGATAGAAGACTCTGTGGAACTGATTTTGGGCAGAAAAGCCATGCTTCCTTTGGTCACAAAGGACTACGATCTATCTTTTGAACCACTGGACCAATATGCATGATTTTGACATATGTTTGTATTTGGAGTATGCTGATTCTGAAAATTTTATGTGAATGTGATGCATACTTTTCAAGTTATGAATAATGTGGAAAAACTGTATTTTTCCTGCTGGTGATAATTATGTTAACCCATTGTGTGCCATAATTAGATCACAAGCAGAGGGGAGGATTTTGTGTATAATTGCTGGGAGTGTTTTCTGTAATGTACGTGTGTTATTGGTTGTTCTGTAAAACCCTGTGGGCAGTACTAAGTTTGTGGATTTGGAATAAAAGAGGCTGTATGTGCCAGTCCAGTCAGTTCCTGCTTAACCCTCAAAGTGAAGTGTCGTCTCATTATTGGAGGAGGATTCATGGTATGCTGTTCCAGTTTGACTGCTAGGAGTGTAAACCTATTCGCATGGTTTTTCCTATTCGGCTGTATACAACATTCATATGCTTGAGAGCATTCATGTGCTCCTACAGTTTGGTGGTTTTGGTGTCTGCTGCAGTCCTTGGAGTCCTCAGGAAGTGCTAGGAGCATCCTTCAACGGAGGTACCCAGTCGGGGTGCCAGGTGATCCGTTACACAGACAAGCTCACTGATGCGCACACACTCTCTCTACAGACAAGTCCATTGACACACACATGCTCCCTACAGAAGAGCTCACTAACACACAGATTCACTACAGACACGCTCACTGACACACATATGGTCACTACAGACAAGCTCATGATCATACACATGCTCATTACAGACAAGCTCACGATCACACACATGCTCACTACAGACAAGCTCACTGACACACATATGGTCACCACAGACAAGCTCACGATCACACACATGCTCACTACAGACAAGCTCACTGACACACATATGTTCACTACAGACAAGCTCACGATTACACACATGCTCATTACAGACAAGCTCACTGACACACATATGGTCACTACAGACAAGCTCACGATCACACACATGCTTACTACAGACAAGCTCACTGCACACATACAGGGCCGACCTTAGGTGTTTAGGCACCCTGTGCGAACCAGTCTTGTGATGCCCTTCCTCCCCCCCTCCTTCACCAGTCCCCTGCCCCCCTTCACTAGACCCCTGCCCCCCTTCATCAGACCCTTCCCCTACTTCACCAGTCCCCTGCCCCATTCACCAATCCCCTGCCCCCCCTTTACCAGTCCCCTTCCTCCTTCATCAGACCCTGCCCCCTTAATCTATGCCTGCCCCATTTACCAATTCCCTGCCCCTTCCATCAATTCCTGCCCCTATCATCAATCCCCTGCCACCTTAATCAATCTCCTACCCCCTTCACCAACAACCCTGCACCCCTTCAATAAAAGGCAATATATTTAGTAAAAAGAAAAGCAATAAGAACTAGGACTCACTTTAATGGCTGCTGATCTCTGGATTGAGCTTCCCACTCTGCCGCGTCACTGATTTAAGAGCTCCAGCCGCTGACCTCACACGCACCAAGTGAATCCTGCCGTGTCTCCCTGTGAAGGCGGAGCACATGGACGCTGCGTCCCCACGCTCCTCCTCCTCCACGCTCCAGACCTCTTCCTTCTGCAATGGATCCTGGCTACAGCTCGCCTCTCCCCTCATAACTTGGGCTGGCCTCTTTGTGATTGACTGCGAGCTGTGTCAGCCGCCCCAGCGCCTCTGTTGCCATGGCGCCCTGTGCGGCCGCACAGCTCGCACACCTCAAAGGCTGGCCCTGCACACACATGCTCAGATACACCCATGCTCCATACAGACAAGCTCACTAACACACAAACACACATGCTCCCTACAGTTTACTGACACACATACAAGCTCACTCACTAGCAGGCACACACACAAACACAAACTCACTAGCAGGCACACACACACAGAGCCTCCCTTACTGGCAGATGCACACACACACAGAAGCTCACTCACTAGCAGATGTGCGCGCGCACACACACACACACACACACACACTGAAGCTCACTCACTTGCAAATGCACACACACAAAGACATCCACACACACAGAGGCAGACATCCACACACACAGAGGCAGGCATCCAACCACACACAGAGGCAGGCAGACAGCCACACACATACACACACACACACACAGGCAGACAGTCACACACACACACACAGGCAGTCACTCACACACACACACACACAGGCAGACAGTCACACACACACAGGCAGACAGTCACACACAGGCAGGCAGTCACACACACAGGCAGACGATGCACATGCAGGCAGACAGTCACACACACATGCAGGCAGACAGTCCGCACACACACACACACTCACAGACAGTCACACACACACTCACACTGGCAGACAGTCACGCACACACACACTCACAGACAGTCACACACACACACTCCCCAGACAGTCACACACACACTCACGAGACAGTCACGCATACACTCACGCACAGCGAGACAGTCACGCACACACTCACGCACGGCAGCGAGACCCGGTCCACACACACCACCACAGGCGAGGCGGTCACGCACGGGCAGGGCAGTCACGCACGCACCAGGCGAGGCAGTCCGCACACACACGGAGACAGACACACACACGGGCGGGCGAGACGGTCACGCACGCACACCGCGGGCGGACAGTCCACGCACGGAGCGGTCACACACTCACGAACAGTCACAGTCACACACACACACACACACACTCCCTCACAGACAGTCCACACACTCACACTGGCAGACAGTCCACACACGCCACACTGGCAGACAGTCACACACTCACTGGCGAGACAGTCACACACGCACACGCTGGCAGAGCAGTCACACACACACACAGGCAGGCGATCACACACACGGAGCGGGCAGTCACACACAC